TAGCTTTAATGTCGTTTAGTTAAAGTGATAATATGTGATATAGATTCCAAAGTTATGCATTAAAATTTTGCGTATATACACGCAATTTAAAAAAGTTAGGTATCTAATTAGACCGGAAAATAAAAAGTAGGTATCTAATTGAACCCCAAAACAATTAAATACCTATTTGTGTAATTAAAAAAAGGGTAAACTACGAGTTTAGTACCTAAACTATCCGTTTTGTTCCGCTTTAGTACCTAAACTTTCAATTTTTTCAAAACCACACCTAACGTTTAGTTTTCGTTTCATTTTAGTACCCGTCATTAAAAACTTAACACTTTTGGTACCTAAATTATCAATTTCAATATGTTTTAGTACCTAAATTTAAAAAAAAATCAAAACTTAACGTTAAGTTTTTAACGAAGGTACTAATGAAACAAAAACTAAATGTTAGGTATGATTTTGAAAAAAAAAATGAAAGTTTAAGTACTAAGATAGATCAAAATTGATAGTTTAAGTACTAAACGTGTAATTTACCCTTAAAAAGATAGATATCACATAACATATAAATGTCAAAGTAAATTAAAAAATTGTAAATATTAATTGTCAAATTTATTATTATGCCATATGACAACTCAACCTACCTTACTAGCTTTCAATGAATCCGATTTCTACTCAATAACATCAAGGGGAAAGATTTTTAATAAAGTAAATTAATCTTTTTTTCTCTAAAAAGTTGGAAATCCAGTTAAGGACAATTATTATGTTATAGGACTTTATCATAAAAAGTATGAAATAGAAGTTCCAATCAGCAATAAATTTGAAGGTATCTTTACGTGAACTCTTCTTTATTTCTTAGCAAATAAAATGTGATATTTCATCAATATTCGCAATGCAAGTCCCTCTCAAGGTTAGGTATTTTTTTTTTTGCCTAATAAACTTCCTTTTTGGGTATTTGATTTTCTGCTTAGAGCCTTCGGGTACGACAAAATGAGATCTCAAGGGGGGAAATAACAGTTTTCTTTATAGGTAATTAATTGATTTTATGATTTAATGCCTAATATTTGTGAACTCCTTTTGACTTCTTCAATATCATATGAAAGAAATAGTTTTTAGATTTCTAGGATGATGTCACGAGCCCCGAGCCCTTGACCAATGTCACAATGCAAGGAGGAGCTCATGACAACCTAGTGGCGTTTTGGGCCTTGCCAAACCCTTTCAGGCCGCCCCATTTCATGGGGATGAAGAGCCAAGTACAATTATGGAAGGAGAATCACTTAGTTAATGCAGGATCATCTTGATTCTTTCCATATTCTTTGTAATCCTTTTTCTAAAGGAAGTTATCAAGGCCATTATATAGTTTCCTTAATTAGAGAGATCTTGTAATTATGATTCCTTAGATTGGGGGATTACATTCGATAGAACCATAGATGTACTTAGATCTTAGACGTTCATTGAGGGGAGCCTCCACTATAAATTGAGGTATCTCATCCTTATTTGTACCCACTTCTTCATTTTGAGAAATCACAGAACATTCTTTCAATCTCTTGTCTTGTTCTTGTTTTGGCTTTCTTTTTCAAAGTTATTTTGTTTCCGTTGTGCTAATCTAAGTATCTCTGCTTGGATTGTTTTAGGCTGACTTAGCCGCATTATTTGAAGAAGTAACTAAGGTCGCGCGTTCGAGGTATTTGAAGTTCTAAGGACGTGACAAGTGGTATGAGAGCCCAGTTTTTCAACGAGATGGCACCACAAAACCAAGATGAGGTCCCAATTTTTGCTGACGGTGTTGAGACCAATGTAATTGTTGTGAGAAAGCAAGCTACTTCGAATGATATGGTGGCATCCTTTAAAAAAAGGATTGGTAGGCTTGAAGACCTATACAATGAGATCAATGAGACTCTGGATTCAATCGAATTCCGCCTTTCTATGCCCGAGGAGAGAGGCATGAGGACCCAAGAACAAATCAAGGATTTGTCTAAGAAGCTGGATGAGTGAACCAGGGGTCTTAAGAGCATGCATTTTTCTATGAGGGTGGAGCTGATGAAGAAGATGAAGGAGCTCAAGAGTGAGTTGTTGGTCTACAAGGTTGTTGTGCACAATGGGGTGCTAGGGGAGGCATATAAGCCCAGGATTGATGTCTCTAAGCCAAAAGTGTTCAATGTGAGTCGAGTTGCTCAAGACTTTGATAATTTTCTCTTAAGCATGAAGCAATTCTTTCGGGGTAATGGCATTGAGGACGAGACCACTAAGATAAATATTGCTTCCAATTATCTTACTGATGTTGCTAACTTATGGTGGCAAGGCAAGTGTTTCAAGGTGAAAGACAAGTTACTTCCAGTCGAGACATGGGATGAGTTCGTGGGAGAACTTAAGGAGCATTTCTAGCAAAAGAATACTCAGCACGAGGCTCGAGCAAAGTTGAAGCAGTTGAAGTATGACCTTTCTCTCTTGGAGTACATCAAGAGCTTCACGGAGATCTGATTACAAATTCTAGAATTGGGTAATTCGGATGGCTATTTTGCCTTTATCGATAGGTTACAATGATGGGTGAAGTTCGAGATCCAGCGAAGGGAAGTGAAGGAACTGTTCGAGGCCATGGATGTGATCGAGTCTTTGGCTTCGTTTGAAGTCAAGAAGACCGACTCTTCCAAACCAAAGCCAAAACCTAAGGGTAATGGTGGGGGACAGAAGGCCAATGAAGAATCCAACAAGCCATCAAGAAGTCACGGGAAATCTAACAACCAAGCTAATAAGGGTAACCAATCAGGTGACTTGACATGTTTCATTTGTGGAAGAAATCACATAAAGAGGGAGACCTTGAAGCTTGGCTCCATTCTGAGTTGCTCGAGAGTCAAGAAAGGTCGATAAAAGAAGGGGCTAATGTTTATGGACATCACCATGGCTGGAAATAACATGAGTGCATTAGTTGATAGGGTACCTCAGAGTTGTTCATGTCCGAACATGCCTTCAAAAGACTTGACCTTCCGATGGAGAAGGCGAGTGGGTTTATCAAGACCGTTAATTTCAAGAAAGCTCTGATTGCGGGGATAGCAAAAGGCACTTTAACGCATGGCTTCACCCGAGTTAAAAGAGCTACGCATACATTTGTAATAACTCTTGGATGTGAGGTATATCCGACCATCTAAGGCACACTTTAGTGAACCAGTGTTGTTTCAAAAAAAGCATGATGGATGTGCATCGACTATCAGGCTTTGAATAAGCTCACTGCGAAGAACAAGTACCTGATCCCGTTGATTGTTGACTTGTTAGATCAACTTGATGGTGCAAGGTGGTTCACCAAGTTAGATTTACGGTCCAAGTATTACCAAGTCAGGATAGTCGAGGAGAATGAATCGAATACAACTTGTGTGACACGCTACAGTTCGTACGAGTTCTTTTTGATGCCTTTTGGCCTTACGAATGCCCCTGACAGATTCTGCACATTGATGAATAAAGCAACACAACCCTTTCTTGATTGATTTATTTTAATCTACCTTGATGACATTGTCGTGTATAGTTAGACTCTTGAGGAACATGTTGAACATTTGAGGAAGGTTTTCCAAGTCTTACATGAGAATGAGCTCTATGTCAAGGAGGAGAAGTGCTCATTCACCCAAAAGGAGGTCTTTTTCTTTAGTCATATTGTCGGAGGAGGCAAGCTCTGAATGGATGGGGGCAAGGTTCACGCCATTGATGAGTGGAATCTACCCATCAAGGTGTCCGAGTTGATAGCATTCTTGGGACTAGCCAACTATTATCGATGGTTCGTAAAGGGCTATTCCAAGATGACCACACCTTTGACTGAGGTTCTAAATAAGAACAAGGCGTGGGATTGGTGTTTAAAGTGCCAAAAGGCTTTCGAGAAGATCAAAGAGGGCATGATGAGTGAGCCGGTATTGGTGTTGCCAGATTACTCCAAGTCATTTGTTGTTTTCACCGATGCATCCGACATTGCCATTGGTGGGGTCCTTATGCAAACAAAACATTATAGTCCAACAATTCACACCAATTGCCAAGAAGGCATCGCAACAACTTTTATCAATGCGATCAAATTCGCTGCTAAACATAGTGTCAAAAATATTGATAATACCCCAGAATGTTAAGTAGAGTCGAAAAGTATTTGAGGTCAGCAGGAGCCACCGTCGATGATGGCAGGTGCGGCTGTTTCGGGAAGTGCGTCATGATCCCCAACAGGATCAGTGAGACCAGTCTAGGCAGACCAGCTAGCCCTAGCTGGATAAAAAGGGTTGTGAATATGGTAATGAGCAATAAAATTATAGTTTGTGAAGACCAGGGATTCAAATAGTAGTTGCGGTCGCATTTTCGGTCGCGATTGCGGACATAGAGGACGCTATTACGAGGATTACGGGTATCACGATCATATAACAACGGTTTCGGAGGACACCACTACAACTATATCGAGGGCGCTATCACGATTGTTGACCGCTATTTAAATCCCTGGTGAAGACGTGGTTATCTATCAAGTATATGAACTGTGTCAATGGAGTGTTGAAAGGTGCAATTTGAGTGTGATTATTTATAGTAAATTAAACCAAGAGAGAGCAAGTTAATATTGATTTTCATTCACTACAATCTTCTGTTTCTTTTTAGCTTTTATTAGAGATGTAGTTACAAATTTTGGTATTAAAATTTACAAAGATACTCAATGCTCAACATTACAACTGCATTGAATTCTTAATAAAATTTACGTTTAAGGGGTAATTTTATTTATATAGTAATCCCAAATTATTAACTTTGTCCATATTTTTTAAATACATTAATTTGAGAGTTAATTGCATCATATGTCCCTAAATTATAACCCTCATTTAAATTGATCCTTAAACTTTTGAATGTTTCAATTTCATCCTCAAACTATAACTCTCATTCTAAATTAGGCCTTAAATTTTTGAACATTTTAATTTCATCCAACTATGACCCTAAATTTCGTCCATAAGTTCATCCGAATATGCAATTAGGTTCAACCATAATTCAAGATAATTTTTTTTCAAACATATATAGAAATGGTGACTGAATTGTTATCCGTCGACAAAGATCTTATTCGTGTCAAAGGGAGGGAGGGCTTCATTGTTCTTCATTTTGTTGCTCTCCAAGGAAATGTTGATCTTCTATCTCGGTTTCTCGATCTTTGTCCCGAATGTGTCTTTGATTTGAGTACTCGGAAACAAACGGCACTGCATATTGCTGCAGAATACAACAGTTTTGAAGCTTTTGAAGCTATGGTGGAATGGATTCAAAGAAAGTTGGTAAACACTAAACGAGTTCTGAAAAGTAAAATCTTGAACTCACAGGATAAGGATGGAAACACTGCATTGCACTTGGCTGCAGCAAATAACCAACAACAGGTTTAACAGATCCGTTTCTTTTACTTTTGGATTAAACAATATTTATGTTGCAAAAACTGGGTTCTAAGATGTCATCTGAAGGTGGGCATGAAATATGAATTATTTTATGTTACTTGTACATTTTAATGACGCTAGGGATGGTAAACAGGTACAGTTTCGTGGATTTCGCACTGCATCCGCTCCAATTGGAGCGGGGATGGGTATAATTTTAGCGGGTAGTGGGCGGGTGTGGATTTATAAAGTGGTACCCGTCGTGTGTGGTGGGCGGGTAATGGGTTTGAGACATTACCCTCCCCGCATCCGCCCGCCCCACATCCGCCCGCCCAGCTAAATATTTATTAAATTTTGGACTATTATGAATTTAGGTGTAATTTTAGAGACTAATTTATAAATTTTAATATTATATAATATATAACATATAATTTAACTAAAAAATAAGGATATTTAGTCTTTAATCTGGTATTTGATTAGGGAAATATTCGGCTATTTGATTAAACCCATAATCCCACTAACCACATCACTTTCCATGTTCTTTAGCTCATGCTGCCCATCCAAACACAAATTAGCCGTACTATAAGCATTAACATCAAAAGCAACAGTTTCCATGCTCTTTAGCCCCTCAAAACCCATATTAGGCGCACTATGAGTATTAACATCGAAAGCAACACAACAATCCAGCTCTGCGACTACATGCTCCCTATAATCTGTCTCCATAACATTCGTAGAGCCACTCCTCTGACAAATTGAAGCATGCGCTGCTACCCTATCACGAACTGTCTGGGAACCAACTCCAACATCTCATTAGTTTGTTGTCAGGCGAGTCTAGATGTGTATGTCGCTAGTGGGTAGTGGGTGTGGGGATGAATTTGAAAATGTACCCGCGTGGGCGGGTGTGGATTTGAAAATTTGTACCCATCATGGGTGGTGGGCGGGTGGTGGATTGAAAAATAATAGGTGGGTATGGGGATGGGGGAGGGGGTATCCGCACCCGACCCGCCCGTTTGCCATCCCTAAATGACGCTTTCCATGCTAAAATTTTAGTTATGTATATAAAGATGGGTAAAGTACACAAATGGTCCCTTGAATATAGCATATTGCTTTATTAAGTCCTTTGATTATTAAAAGTTATAAAATGATATTTTATCTATAGAATGTTGCTTTATTAAGTCTCTTGACTATTAAAAGTCACAAAATGGTTACTCGATTATTCAATATGTTCCAAACTCGTCCTTTTTCCGTTAAAGAAATGGCATTTGTTTAAGTTGGACGTTAACAAGATGATTGAGATATGATAATCATTTGAAATTCTAGTTAAAAATTTTATAATATCACAATCAACAGGTTAACGTTCAGCTCAAAATAATGTTCATTTTTTTAATAGAAAAGGATGAATTTGGAACATAATGAATAGCCAGGTAATCATTTTGTAACTTTTTATAGTCGATGGACTTAATAAAATAGTACCCTATAATCAAGGGACCATTTGTGTACTTTACCCAAAAATATTATATTATTAATATATGTGTCCACTTTAAAAAAAAATTGGATCCATGCATATAAATTCTATAAATTTTAGTTTATACAAATCAGTTTATTTAAATGTCATATCTTTTTTAGAGTTTAGCGATAGGGTTTAGCTTTAAATATTAAGGTTTTTAGATCTAGTTTGGAATTTTAGAGGCATCGTTTAGGTTCTATTTTAGGTTAGATAGTAAGATTTAGGATTTTAGATTTTAAGATCAAATAAAAAGTTACTTTTTTTTAAGGTTATAGGTAGAAATGGAAATGGTTATGGGTCAGATCGGATTTTGGTCGATATGATTTAAGTATTTTATTCAGGGTTGGAGTTAGGATTAAACATCAAGAGAGGACAATCTGTTAATTAAAAAAACAGATGCCTAGTAAGAATTTAAACCTAAAGATTAGAGATGAAAATGTTTCATTTTATTAATATTTAAAGTAATAGGGACCTAAAATGTTTCATTTTTTTTAAAGATTCTAATCTTTATTTGGTAAAGTATGGATTTAAATGAATATATATAAGATTCTCATTTTTATTCGATAAAGTTGGGACTTAGTTGAAAATATTTATAGAGAGATGAATATTATGACAATTATCTTTAAATATATAAGAGATAGTCATATTATTATCTCGAGTCAGATCAGATAGAGAATTTTTCATCTTAAACTCAAACTCGACCTGACCTTATTTTATATATAAAAAAAATATGACCGAATCCAAATCCAAATTTTCAAATAATTGTTGGAAGCGTAGATGGGCTCTCGGTAATTTATAACTCGAACTTTTTATTTATACGAAACAAAATATGTTACAACGACATTCTCAATATTACAATACTACAAAACTAGCTGCGACTAGTTTACAAACTCAACCTCACTATTTTAAGCTTTGCTAAGCTCTCTCAATTCTCTATATTTTTTTCTCGTTACTCACACACTCACTTGGACCTAAACACACATATTTATATATGTAATAAACCGACTTAACTTGCTTCTATATTATTCTAGCCGGCGTGATTGAATTCCTCAAAGATTTCAATACTTTTCTAGACATTGATTTTTTTAATTGCAACTTTGGATTTTCTTGACTACATGCACATGCGATTGTTTTGTTTGCTGCCACCTTTCAATTCTTCAAAATATCTTTGCCATTTTTTATTACTCAATAATTGAGTTTGATATCCAACAATAATAATCTTTTAGGATCTGATCAGAACTCATCGAGTCTCGTAATCCTTCCTATTTAGTAGAAAAAAACCTAAACTTTTAAACATCAATGTCTAATGTCCAATGTCAATGCATTGCATAGGGGAACGTGAACCTGTTCATTACAAATGTTTTGTATTTTGTCAATTAATCATGGACTTTCGAATCAAGCAGATGATCAAGCTGTTGATGAGCTGCAAGGAAACGGACAAGAACAAGTCCAATGAAGGCGGTTTGACAGCATCAGATGTCTTGCAAAGACAAACTGAAGACGACGACAATGAGATGTTGGGAATTCTCAAGAGCCATCCCGGCATTTCTCAAAGGAACAAGTCATGGTTTGACACACAATGGTGTCGGATTACGTCCGAGAGATGAAACTCGGAACAATCAATGCATTGCTCGTCGTACTCGCACTGGTTCAAACAATCACTTACCAAGCAATTCCCAGCCCTCCGGGCGGTGTTTATCAGGCCGGCGAGGTTGGTTCGAATCATCGTGAAGGGCAATCGGTGATGGACACAATGAGTTTTCTTTTGTTTTATATTCCGAATGGGGTAGCTTTTCTTTCGTCGTGGGTCATAACAACTTCAATGTTTGCAGTCGTCGTTGAAAGCATCATGCCTTTTCTGGTGCCACTTTACTTTATTGTGGGTTTTATTATAATAAAACTAACTTTTTGAAGTGAAAAAAGAAAATAAAATTCATTATTTTAATATTTAATAAATTTCATTTTTAAAAAACAATTGGATAAATTATACGTTTAATACTTAAACCATCAATTTTAGTTTGTTTTAGTACCAAAACTTTAATTTTTTCAAAATCATATCTAACGTTTATTTTTAGTTTCGTTTTAATACATCGTCATTAAAAACTTAGGGTAAACTACACCATTCATCACTGAACTTTACTCTCTCTCCTAATTCACTTATTTACTTTCAATTTTTCATTTTACTCACTGAACTTTCGAATTGCTCATGTTTTGTTCGCTACAAATTATTTTATTATTATTATTCTATTACATGGAAGTTTCATATATTATTAAATATAAAACAATTTAAAATAAAAAAATTATTATTAAATTTAAAATGATTTAAAATAATCAACGTCCCTTCTCGTCACCACCGACCACCATTTAGATTTGATTTTATATTTTAAATTATTTTTATATTAAATAATAATAAAAATGTCATCTCATACCAAAATAAAAAATATATAATCATTCAGAATGACAAAAAAAATGAGCAATTTAAAAGTATAGTTAGTAAATTGAAAAAACTGAAAGTACAGTGAGTGAAATAGGAGAGAGAGTAAAGTTTAATGATGAATGATATAGTTTACCCAAAAACTTAACGGGTGATTTGCGGCACATTTTTATGCGTAAAATGTATTATTCATCGCTTAATTATCTTCTCACTAGTATTTTGGTTACTAAAGTTTATTTTTTTTAATTTAATTACTTAACTTTCAAATTAGTCCTAATTTAATCACTCTAACTTTTAATTTTATTTTTTATTTAAATTATATATTAATAAAAATAATAAAAATGTCATGTCACAAAAAGTATTAATAAAATAAATTAGAGTAATTAAAATAGGAGCAATTTGAAAATTGAGTAGTTACATTGAAAATTTTTAAACTTTAATACCAAAATAAGAGTAAGAATATAGTTGAGAGGTGAATGGTGTAATTTATCCATAAAATATGGAGTGCCGTTAAGTTTTCAGCGGAGAGATACTAAAACTAAACGTTATATATAATTCTAAAATGATTAAAAGCTTTGGGTGCCAAAAGCGAACTAAAACTGATAGTTTAAATACTAAACACGTAATTTATATACCCGCGACGATGATCACCAAACCATTAATTATGGTTACAACTAATATAGACCCTTAAATCGCATCTAGGCAATCAAAGGGGTAATTTAATAATTCACATATACTAACTTTTAATATTTTAGCCCGTAAGATAATTAATATACTCTCAAGTATATCAGACGTTTTACGACTATATATTGAATTAATTATCGATGTATAATAACTTATTCCTTGCAATTTCGGGCTTTTCTTATCCATTACTGTGACTAGGGGTATTTTGGTCATTTTATATACTCAAGGTCATCTCGGTCTTTACTAAGACTAAACTTGTAGATAGTAAGTCTTGCGGTAATCTCCTAAAATTCTATGATTTCTTATTTGTTTTATCATTAGTATTCATTATTGTACTTAAGGGTAGTTTGGTAATTTTCCTAATTTCCATTCGGATATATTCATACACCCATAAATAATGCAAAGTATCATAACTATGAAATTATGGAACATTTTAGAGTTCGAGTGTACTCACCTTAATGCTTGAATTTGAGCTTATCAACTTTAAATTGGGTTCCTGACCCTTTTTCACGAACATGGGTGAACGTGATACGAACATGACCCTGAATAATTTCTTCGATAGAAAAAAGGACTCGTAAATAAATAATTATAGGTACTAAATTTATTAAATTGAAAGTTATCGGGGCTAAAACCGCATTTAAATCAAGTAATTTGGGCCAAATTGAATTCTTACCAAACTACGAAGGACTAAATTGTAGTTTTATGACGAGTGATGGTGATGACAAGTGAGACTCGTGGTGACATTACGACGTGAGGTCTAATTATATAAATAATTATAAAATAAATGTTCAAACTATAGCGCTTTCACAAATAAATGTTTAGACCCTGTTTTAATGATTCAAGTGTATAATTTTACAAACGTTACCATTTTAGGTAAGTGACAAGTGTCACATTCTGGTAATTTTGGATTTTTAGAAAAAATTAAAAATATTCTTATATTTATAAAAAAAACCATAATTTCTCTTAAATTACAATAAAAACTCAATCCCTAACCCTAACTTATTCGTCGCCTTTCCGTCCACGACCATTGATGTCATGTAGTTTATGTCATCTTCCTAGTCAATATTGTCATAGTTGTCATTGATTGACCGTCGAGATTGTGCGGGATCGCGATTTTCAGCCTAGGGTTCGCGGGATACAAAACGTCACCCGAGTCCAAGTCCTGAACATGATTTTGTTGCAGTATACAATAAAAACTCAAATCCCTAACCCTAACTTGTATTCGTCGACCTTTCCGTCCACGACCATTGATGTCAATGTAGTTTATGTCATCTTCCTAGTCAAATATTGTCATAGTTGTCATTGATTGACCGTCGAGATTGTGCGGGATCGCGATTTTCAGCCTAGGGTTCGCGGGATACAAAAACGTCACCCGAGTCCAAGTCCTGAAACATGATTTTGTTGCAGTAAATTGAGTAGAGATGCCATGATTAACAAGTGACGTTCATTAGTGGTTCCATGGAATGCATAGAAATAATGACCAATGTAATATTTGAGAGTCCAGTACATCAAGTGGTGACGAACTCGGAGAGGGAGAGGATTACTCTGCCTGTCTTCTGCATTCCGAATCCGGATCAAGAGATTCAACCAGCAGAAGATCTCATCAATGAAACAAATCCCAGATTGTACAAGAAAGTGAAGTATTAGGTCAGTCTCTACTTTCAGCACTACCTGCAAGGAAGGAGACCCATAGAAGCAGCACTGATTTGAGGTCCTTCATATTTCGGTTTTCCATCGGCTTGTTCTCGGAAGTGGCATCCAAAACGTTGAGAAATGATACCAAAGTGTCAGGACATACGACAAGGTGATTTCTAAAAACCTACATCATCTTCAAGTATAAGGTACACAAGTTAAAAGCAAAGAAAATTTGGAATTCCAACAAGATTCTTATTTAACCCGATAACATTAATATGCGATTCTGCCATTATGGAACTTTCCATTGAAATATTCTCTGCAAAACTTCCATTGGAACTGCCATTATCAAAAGTTTGGAAATTATAATATAGAAATGTAATCCTGAAATATGAAAACTTCTATCCTGAAAGTGTCAGTGTCTACCATGTGTTCCAAACATGGACAAAGTTCTAATACAATGAAATACGTATTGGATACACGAGCATATTGTTTGTGTTAGATTTATTCATTACATTCAATCGGTAGAGGACTATATTTTTTCTGTTAGTTTTTAACTGAAAATAAAATTTATATGGAAGAATAGTCCTTGTAATATTAGATTTAATCACTACATACAATTTGCACAGGACTATGTTTTCTTCTGTTTCTTAACTGAAGGTAGGAATTCATATTGAAGAATACTTCTTGTAATAGTATATTTCTTTCTTATCAAGCATTTATTCCTATAAATAGATGAAAAGGATTATGGTTCTTGTAAGACTAAATTTTAGAATCAGTGAAGTTTTGTTTTCAGATTTGAGCGATGGGTTCATTTTGTTTCTGGGTTTGTTTTGTTGTTTTGAGTTTTGCAAGTTCACAGGTTGCTAATGCAGCTGTTGAAGGAACTGTTTTTATCGAAGGGAAAGCTGCCATTGGTAGAATAGATGACGATTTCATTTGTGCTACTTTGGATTGGTGGCCTCCTGAGAAGTGTGATTATGGTACTTGCAGCTGGGGTCTTGCTGGTCTTCTCAATCTGGTAATGTCTTCTTCTTCTGTCTGCAATCAACCAAACTTGTTCTTTTAATGGTGTTTCTGTTCTTGTTTCTCAGTTTTCTGGAAAATTTTCATACTTTTGAAAGGGTGCTTCTGTTCAATCCGAAAAAGGCTATTTCCTAGTTTAAAAGTGGTTGCTGATCTTCCCTTCTTCTTTGCAGGATCTTAGTAATAATATATTCTTGAATGCCATCAGAGGTTAGTCAATTCCTTTTCCATTCGTGGATATTTTATAATTACTAATACTTCATCTTAATTTGTTTATTTATTTATCGGTCCCTGTAATTTTTCAGCTTTTTCACCATTGAAGATTAGATTGGGCGGCTCATTACAAGACAAAGTCATATATGGTACAGATGAGAATCAACAACACTGCACTTCGTTTGTGAAGAACACATCTGAGATGTTTGGTTTTACAAATGGATGTTTACCAATGAATAGATGGGATCAACTTAATTCCTTCTTTCAAAAATCAGGGTATACATACATACACACATACATACATATATATAATGAACATACACCAATATGAATGTTTTATTTGACCATTAATTTGTTTCATAATTCAGGGCTAAGATCATTTTTGGATTAAATGCTCTTGCTGGTCGAACTGTACATCCTAATGGTGAAGCCGTTGGTGCTTGGAACTACACCAATGCGGAATCTTTTATACGTTACACTGTCGAAAAGAACTATACCATTCATGGTTGGGAATTAGGTAACTACTGATGAAATGTCTGAATTATCAATATATTATTGGTATTAAGATTGAAACAAATTATGTTTGTTGTGTTTTACTTGTCAGGAAATGAATTGTCC